TGTGTGTATATATATATACACACACACACACACGCACACACACACACACACACGTATATATATACCATTGTTATGTCCCTGAAGTATTCATTCTCAAGTACCTGCAAGCCACTTTCAATTTAAAGGTAGAGTAGGTTGCAGTGATTTAAGAAAAATCCACAGTGGCTAAGCCTGGCTTAAAGGTGCTCAGGGAACGGCTACTGATGTTTAACTGAGGTACATGACACTAAGGAGTATTGGTTGACAGTGACCAGAATCTATTTATAGCTAAGACATGCTCAAAAGAAAACAATGTATATGCATTTGTGTACAGGGAGGAATTTTACTGGCTCAACCCAAGGAAGGGTTGATGGACAAACTGTGGGAGGGGATGCGTTGCAAGTGTACCCGAAAACAACTGGAACCAGGGGACTGAACCCCACCAAGGCTCTCTGTCCATCTCCTGCCACTTCTCCTCTTCTGCAGGTCTGTTTCAATCTCTCTCATTTCAGGCCAGCCAACAATACCCAAATTTTACATTTTACAAGTTTTACCATCTGAGAGATTGTTCTACATCCAAAACAAAAAAAAAAAATCTTAGGGGAGGACTCTGGTTGACCTGGTTGACTTGGCTTGGGTAAGGTACACACTCCTGGTCTATTCAACTGAGATCACGTAAGACTGAGGCAGGTCTCACCTGCCTATGCTGCAGCGCAGTAGGAGGAGAAAGGAGAGCTAATAGGCTAATAGTAAAGTTGTCTGCTACAGTGATCTCTGGTCAGAATGCCCCAAAAGGCATTTGTTAAGTTGGCTTAGATGACCTCTAACTCCATATTCTACGGTCCTAGGATTTGAATCATTATGTTGATATATTCTTTTTTTTTTCTTTTTTTGCGGTACGTGGGCCTCTCACTGCTGTGGCCTCTCCCGTTGCGGAGCATAGGCTCCGGACGCGCAGGCTCAGCGGCCATGGCTCACGGGCCCAGCCGCTCCGCGGCATGTGGGATCCTCCTGGACCGGGGCACAAACCCGTGTCCCCTGCATCAGCAGGCGGACTCTCAACCACTGCGCCACCAGGGAAGCCCCAATGTTGATATATTCTTAGTTAGTGACTTTGGGGATCTTGCTACCCAGCGAGATCTTAAAATCTCCGAGACAAGTAGGATGACTGTGGTCCTATTCCTTGTCTACCAAGCCACACAGAAATCCCTACTTTCCAAATCCCATTCATTCATGGCATTTAGTGTGACTAGTGAGAAACCTACCTACCAGTCGCCTCCATTCCTGGGAACAATTAGGTGGAAGTGTAGGGCAGACCATCAGTATCATGAGCATATGTGTGTGGTGGCAGCAGGAGAGAGGGGACCGAAAAGAAGCAGGGAGGCTGTCAGTTACTTGGGCAACTTTTCCTTCAGTTGTGAATATTCAGTTGGGCTGTGGTTCCCAGAGAGGGCTGAGCTGCAGAACTGGAACCCAGGGATGAATGACCCAGCCCCAAGTCTTGAATTACTTACTTGCTAGGGAAATTGTGATGGTAGGTAAGAGAGGTAAGGTAGAGCAGTAGTGAAAATAAGTGCTACGATTTACTGAGTGGCTGCCAGTCAGTATGGACATCTGCTGGATTTTGTTTTGTGGCAAGTAAAATTAGGATTCCTCCTCCTCTTGTCCTTGTGTGAACCAGACATTTGGGACTAGGGCCCCTCTGGCCTCCAGAAGCTCCACCTTCATGGAAGGCTAACTGAGGAGGGGACAACACAGTCATGCCAAAAGAGGAGCCTTTGTTCTTGTGGTGTTGTCCTCTGTTAAGTCAGTTTTTTTCCCCAGTGTCTTCAGGGCTGCAGGACTTTTGCTTGGGGTCTGACTTTCTCCAGCACTGGCTTCCTTTTCTCCCCTCAAGAAGCTAAATGCTCACAAAAACATTTTGAAGTTCTTCACATTGTCCTTTTTTTTTTTTTTTTTTTTTTTGTGATACGCAGGCCTCTCACTGCTGTGGCCTCTCCCATTGCAGAGCACAGACTCCGGACGTGCAGGCTCAGCAGCCATGGCTCACAGGCCCAGCCGCTCCGCGGCATGTGTCATCCTCCCAGACCGGGGCACGAACCCGTGTCCCCTGCATCGGCAGGCGGACTCTCAAACACTGTGCCACCAGGGAAGCCTGGCACATTGTCCTTCTTAATCGAATTACTTAGGACCACAAGCACTCACTGTGCCATGTTGCGGTCTCAGGGGCCTCTAAGACCACCCTGACCCACCAAATGACATCCAGAAGGCTCTGCTCTTGCCTGTGGTGGTTCAGTCATTAATCTGGTGGAAGCAGAGCTCAAAGGTTGGCTTCAACCCAGCCCATCTACCACTGGGATGTGCCCATTTGGGTCTGCCGCTGCCACTGTTGTCACCAGGGGTTCCTTGTGTTGAACATGAGTATCGCCACAACTCTGATGCCATCTCCTGAGCCCTGGTATATACGTTCATACAGCACTTGCTGCCCAAAGCCCGAAGCCCAGAGATAGACAGTAATTTTCAAGGAACTTCTGGTCAGAGGAGCTTGCAATCTAAGTAATTTTACTTATTTAGTTTTTCTTGTTTTGTTTTTGTGATCAAATACAACATGAAGCCTACTTTTAACTGTACAATTCAGTGACATGAAGTAAAATCACAGTGATATTTAACCATCACCACTATCTACTCCCAGAACTCTTTCATCACCCCAAAGAGAAATTTGTACCCATTAAGCAATAATTCCCCATTCCCCACTTCCCCCTCACCCCCCCCCACCTCTGGTAGTCCGTGTTCTACTTTCTGTCTCTATGAATACGCCTAGTCAAGGTACTCATATAACAGGGATCAGATACAATATTTGTCCTTTCGTGACTGGCTTACTTCACTTAGATAACGTTTTCAAGGTTCATCTTATTGTAGCATGTATCAGAATTCCATTTCTTTTTATAGCTGAGTAACATTTCATTGTATGTACATACCACATTTTCATTTATCTGGCTTTTACAAATAATGCTGCTATGAACATTGGTATTTGTTTCTGTTTTTTACTATATTAACTTATTTAATTCTTCAACAGCTCTATGAGTTTAGACACTTTTTTGTCTCCAACTTATAGATAAGGATGGTCATGCAGCTGGTCACGGCAAGGCCAATATTCCAACCCAGAGGGTCTCACTCCCCTGCACTCTCTGACTTACACACTGTGCCTCCTTTAATAAAAATAGTTCTTTGAAGTTACTATGCCCCGGGTACGTTACACGCATTATTTCTAAATCCTTAAGGTATCCTTATGATGTGGGCTTTATTATCCTCATATTACAAGTGAGACATTACGGCTTGGCGAGGCTGAGTGTGGACGCAGGAATGTCCCCAGTGTGCTTGCTTCTCCGTGCTTCCCCCCTAGAGCCAGAACACAGCAGGAAGATGGCTCCCTGGGACTTGGGACAGCACAGCCCTTTCTGTGCTGTGCTATCTCGTGTGCCAAACTCATGAGCACTGTTGGGGGACTTGGTATCCCACAGCTGCAGAGAAGTTCTAACCAGGCTCTTAGATGAGACCAGGATTTTTTTTTTTTTTGATACTTAAAGAAAGTTGTTTTTTTGCGTTTTGTTTGTTTGTTTTTAAAAACTCATACTCTAACAACGGCTAGGCCAATAGAGTCAACGTAAAATAGATCATTATTTCCATTGCTGGCTAAATTTGGAAAAGATACAAAAAAGGAGTTATGCAAATTCTGACCAAAAAAATCTATACATGCCTGACTTGGGAGGACTGACTTTTAACAATTACGAGTTAGCTGGATATTTACATAACATTTTGCTTCTATTTACCCATGTGGACAAAGCCATATTCCATTTGCATGGCTGCCTGTAGCCTTTAAAACCCTGACTGACTTGAAGCTCTAGTGTTGGCTTTCCTAACCTTTTTCTCCCCTCCTTTTGCAGCTAACACAAAGATGTACTTCAGACTGTCAGTTTACAAAAGGTCAGAAATGAACTATCTTCCCTTGAGAGAGTGGGATCCAGTATGCATAACCCTCACGGCTATTTCCCCTCTGGTTTTGCAGCTTGAGAAAATGGCATGTAACACACCTAACCAAAGACAGCGGACTATGTCAACATCTGGAGAAGCTCTATATGAAATTCTTGGTCTGCATAAGGGAGCATCAAATGAAGAAATTAAGAAAACCTACAGGTACAGAGGAGGTTCAATGATGATATTTCCTGTACTGCTAGTGATAGTTATTTTGTGATTGGCGAGTGCCTCCAATTAAAGACATAAAATTCCTGCTGAGACCTGGTAATCAGGTCTCAGACCTGGAATGTTCCATTCCCTATTCTACAGCATAAGCAGTTGGGAATGGACAGGCATCACACTGATTTTATGAAAGAACTCTCTTGTGATGTTGGGCCTTAGGAAAGGGTAGCCTGTGTTCTAGGCCTGCATTGTTAGAGAGAGACAGACATACAGACAAACACTGCAAATGACCAGGAGTTGTCATTTAACCCACATGAGATAGCATCACCAAATCTTGTAGAGGGATTTAAAAAATAAAGAAAGGGGAGCTTCTTTGTAATTGCTGTATTGTGCTATGCTTTTCAAGTCTTCAGTTTTGATCTTTCATATCTGATCTAATTCCAAGTTAGCTACTTTTGGGAAAAATGGGAATATCTTTTTCTTCAAAGCACCAAGGAATTTTTAAAAGGATTAAGTAAAAAAATAATTTACTTATTGTGCAAAACTTGGAAATCACTAAAAATGAAGATAACAACATTTATCCATAATTCTACCTCTAGTGATAATTATCATTGATATTTTTTCTTCCACTCTTTTAAAAAGAATCTAGAGAAGACATTTTACACTCGAATTGGATTTATCTATATTCTCTAACTAGCTGTCTTTTTTTTGTCTTGTCCCAATTTTATTTATTTTTATACAATTTTTAAAGGTTACTTTCCATGTACAGTTACTACAAAATACTGGCTCTCTTCCCTGTGTTGTACAGTATGCCCTTGAGCCTGTCTTACACCCAGTAGTTTGTCCCTCCCCTGCCACTGGTGACCACTAGTTTGCTCTCTATACCTGTGAGTCTGCTTCTTTTATGTTACATTCACTAGTTTTTTGTATTTTTTTATTAAAATTTTTTTTCCAACCTCTTGCATTTCATATTTTAGGAAAATATAATTTTTCTCTCTTTTTTAATTTTTATACAATTTTTAAAGGTTAATTTCCATTTACAGTTATTACTAAATATTGGCTGCATTCCCCTTGTTGTACAATACATCCTTGAGCCTATCTTACACCCAGTAGTTTGTACCTCCCACTCCCCCATCCCTATATTGGGCGCATGTATGTGTTCAAATTAGGAGTTTTGCATTTTCGGATATATACCCAGGAGTGGAACTGCTGGGTCATATGGCAGTTCTATTTTTAGTTTTTTGAGAAACCTCCACACTGTTTTCCATAGTGGCTGCACCAATTTACATTCCCACCAACTAACTAGCTTTCTTTTTAACAAGATCCTATCATGAAAATATTTTGGTGCTATTTAATATTGTGATTTTTAATGCCTGCAGCCTATGGCTATTCTGTAACTTAATTACTTTATGAGCTACTTTTTAACATGTAAATTCTTTTAATTTTCACTATACTTAATATCCTTGTACATAAATGATGATGCATATTTCCAATTACTTCCTAACTTATTGAGGAATAAAGCTGTGCCTTTAGAAGAAAAATGAATCAAACTACAAATGAAAGTTTCAGATTTGAATCAGTTACTTCTTGATTTGGCCTTGAATTCGGTTTTTAAACTTATTTTTGTTTGTTTTTTGTTGTATGGAAGTTTAATATTTTTAGGTAGGCAAATTTGTTAGTCATTTCCTTTATGGCTTTTGTTTTATCTGTTGTGGTTAGAAAGCCTCTCCCAACTATAATATTATAAAAATATTAACCATTATCTTCTTCTAGTACATTATGTACTTTTATATTAAATCTTTGATCCATTTGGAGTTTATTTTGACATGAGGAATGAAGGTAGGATTCCAGATTAATTTTTTTCCCAAATCACTAGCCCACCAAAATTTATTGAATTCTCCATTTTTATCTACTGATGGAAAATTCTTTGGCTTTGAATTGGAACCTTCACCATGTGGTAAACTATGGGACCTGAAACGTCTTCAAGAAGCATGTGCTGAAGAATAAATGACAGTGGTGAAAATTTCCATTTGAATCCAAATAGTTCTGTGAAAATGGCAGATTTTGATCAAAGTCAATATCAATCTTCTAGTTTATATTTCACTTAAGGTGCTGGAGAAGAAAAAGTCTTTGCTGTTTCATTGTGCCCTAGAGCTACCCAGGAGCGTGGCTGGGAGCTGTTCAGCCCCCTGTGGGTAGATGTCCTTGGTGAAGGGTCACTAAACTTGACTTTTAAGGCTTTGGGCTGAGACGTTGTGCTGGGGTGGGACTGGGAATCAAAGTATATGCACTGTAAGCATAATACCCTACACAAAGATGATCCCCAAAATGAGAAGAAAAGTGATGTCTAACTATAAGTTCTAAAGCCTGCTTTACTTTACAAATGTGACTTTTCATTGCCTTTATTTATTTTGTAAGCTAAAATTTCAAGTCATATCCTAATTAAGACACTAATTATGCTGAGTAGTTTGCAAGTTTAATAATTACAACCTAAAGTCTTTTCATGTAATCAGTGTCTTCCTATTAATTTTGTTTTAATGTCATACAAATATTATTTTTTCAGCTGATTAGGGTACTAGTATGCTGCCCAAAGCATCTACTTCTAACTAAATTACACATTTGTATTCTGCAAGTTATTCAAAATGTATGAGCAGGCTGAAAATCCACTGAGAATATTATTCTTATATTCAGGGATCTGGATCAAAGCAGTGACAATATAGTGAAATTAAAAGTCAGTGAAGTTTAATAAAATTACCAACTGTTGAATCCATACGGTGCTTGACCTCTGTTGTAACCCTTGGTTGTGCTCTTGAAAACAAGGCTGAGCTAGAAGACCTCTTTTTTTTTTAATATTTTATTTTATTTTTGAATAGATAATACATTCACCTGATTAAAATGAGAACACATAAACACGTATACAAAAAAATTCTCCCTCCTACCTCATATCCCCCAGGTTCCCTCCCCAGGGAAAGAAATTCCTGTGTACCCTTCTAGAGAGATCTTATGCTATATAAACATATAAAGAGACCTTCTGGTCTAGGCAAGATGGTACAGGCTCGTCTCTCACAGATCCTCCCTGCTAATAAGCATGACGAAAACCCTTGGAAATAACACAAGAGACAAAAAAAAGAGAATCCTCGAAAGGTAGATGGAAGAAGAAGAGATGAATTGGTTAGGGATCACAAGACCAAAGGAGAAACACAGTGACAAGGCATCTTACAGCTCCATACCCAAGAAAAGGTAAGCCAGGCCTGGCCTTTCCCAACACCCGCTCTAGCAATGGAAGGCAGCCAGGTAGTCCTATTCTTCCTCTAAATTGAACTGAAGTCCTGCCAACAACTCTAGGTAATCCCAGCAGAAACAGCAAAGAGGACCAACTGAATGTCCGCCTAACAAGAGCCAGCCAGAGGACTTTCCCACCAGCCTGAGACTCCCCTCTCCCATCCAGAGATCCCACTTTACAGGGGAAATTAACAAGGGGGATTCTGCCACAACAAACACCCAGCCCAGGAAATGTTTTTGTCCCTGCAGCCTGGAGATTCCCTTCCCCCACCTAAAGGCACCAGACATCCAGCCTGGGAAGGCTCCTTTCACTTCCTCAACTAGTACCAACAAGCACCAGTAGCGGCCCCAGAGGCAGGAGACAAACCAAGCAGACCAAAATAGCACCATGGAGTTTCCGAAAACTAGATTGTCACTGGAACCACTGACCACAAAAGTAGGCTAGGACCTGCATGCTAAACCCAAACTGACTGACTGTCTTTTAAAAGGAAAAATTTAAATAGGACCCAGAGTCTCCTAACATAATAGCCAAAATGTCCACATTAAAATCACGCATTTTATACAAAGAACGAAGGAAATCCCAACTTGCATGAGAAGACATTATCATCTGACTCCCACACAGAGGTGAACCAGTTATTGGAATTATCTGAGTATTTTAAAGTAACCATCATAAAAAAGATTCAACAAGCAATTACAAATTCTCTTGAACCAAGTGAAAAAAATGGAAATTTCAGCAAAGAAATAGAAATTGTAAAGAAGAACCAAAAGGAAATGAAAGAACTGAAAAATAAGAGAAATAATATAACTAACTGGATGAGCTCACTAGTAGAGTAGAGATGACAGAGGAAAGAGTCAGTGTCCTCCTCAGGACAGATCGATACAACGTATGCAATCTGAACAACAAGAGAACATAAACTGAAAACAAACAGTCACAGGAAACTGCAAGCCCATAGCGAAAGATCTAACACTTACAGCATTCGTGTCCTAGAAGGGGAGAAGAAAGAGAGTGAGACTGAAGAGTATTCAAAGAAATAACCACCGAAAATTCCCCCAATTTGGCAAAACATGTAAACCTACAAATCAAGAAGCTGAGTGAGGGCTTCCCTGGTGATGCAGTGGTTAAGAATCCACCTGCCAATGCAGGGGACATGGGTTTGAGCCCCGGTTCAGGAAGGTCCCACATGCTGCAGAGCAACTAAGCCCGTGCGCCAGAACTACTGAGCCTGCACTCTAGAGCCCACGAGCCACAACTACTGAATCCCGCATGCCTAGAGCCCGTGCTCCACAGCAAAAGAAGCCACCACAATGAGAAGCCCACACACTGCAACGAAGAGTAGCCCCCTCTTGCCACAACTAGAGAAAGCCTGCACGCAGCAACGAAGACCCAACGCAGCCAAAAATAAATAAATAAATTAATTAATTAATTAAAAAAAAAAGAAGCCGAGTGAATCTCAAATAGTATAAATCTAAACAAGTCCATACTAAGACACATCATAATTAAACCTCTGAAAACTAAAGACAAAGAAAATAAAAGCAGACGGAGAAACAACACAATGCTTATATGGGGACAGTAATTCAAATGACAGCAGATTTCTCACCTGAAATAATAGTGGCCAGAAAGGAGTGATACAACATTTTTCAAGTGCTAAAAGAACTGTGAATTCTATATCTGGTGAAAGTATACTTCAGGAATTATGGGGAAAGAAAGACATTCT